ACCGGCCGGAATAAAAAAAACCTTTTTATACTAAACGCTTTATTATTATTACCGTTTTTTCGGTAATATAATTTTTTATATAGCGTTATCCGGTATTACCGCGCTATTATTATTAGGGGGCAAAATTATTTATTCGAAGTTTAAAATTTTTATTTAATTTTATTTAAATTTTATTTATATTATTTCGCAAAAAATAAACGAAGCCTAGCTTTTTTAAAAAATAGCTTTTATTATTTAAAATAAAGTAATTATATAAAATAAATATTATTTTAATACCGTTAATAGGATTTTACGTAATATATAAAATATAAATTATTTTTTCGGGGGTATATTAACCTTATTAGGTAGCGATTTTATTTAAATCTTATTTATAATACGTAAAAATAGCCGCGTTTAAATAATTAAAGCCTATTTATAAAAATCGAATATTTAAGCCTAAATATAAAAGCTATTTTTAATAAAAAATATATATTTATTATAAGCGAAGCCCGAAAATATAGCGTATATTTAATAATTAAATTTTTTTTTTTATTATTTATATATAAACGGTTTTATCCGTTTACTAAATTTTACTAAAGTTTTCCGGCGCTAAAACGATTTATTCGATTACGTTTATTTATGCCCGACGTTAGCTAGCGCCGTAATATAGCTAAATATTTTCGCCCGTAAAACGATTTTTTACGCTTATAATACCCGGGTAAATAATATAAACGAAATTTTTTTAAATTATATATTTAAAGCTATTAGGGAATATAATTTAAAAAACGAATTTTTGCTTAATAGCCTTTTTAATATCGAATTGCCTTTTACGGAATATTTTAATTCGTTAAAACCTTTTAAAATGCTTTCGGTTAAATTACGGCTTAAAATAAAAGCTTTTATTATGCTATTACGCAATTTTTCCCCGGATACGGAAATATATAATAATACCCGTTTTATTATTATTAAGCTTTATCGGTATATTATCGAAACTAAAATATTCGGCGGTAAATTTTATAAATAAATAAAGCCGATTTTACGTTTATAGCTAAATTAAAATAAAGATAATTAGCCGTTTCCGTAATTCCGTAGGTAATTTCCGGTATAATTTAGTTTTTTTATAATTATTAATAAATTTTAAAGGTAATTTTTTAATATAATAAATATTAATTTATAAATATAGGTTTTTATATACGGTTAATTTTATATAACAATATCCCGATTAACGAATATTAGGAAATTAGGAGTTTTATTAAACGAAGAAATTACCGTTATAAATAATATCGTTTATTTAAAAATGCTAACGTTTACGGGGAAAAAGCGTAACTAAATATTTAGGTTATATAAATTAATTTTAGCGTATTTAAAAAATTTCGGAATTTATTATTTACGATAAATTTTAATTTATATATTTAATAAAAATAATTAATTTTTAAAAAAGCAAAATCGGTTATAAAAGCAGGTTTTCGGGCTAAAAAGGTTAAATTTATAATTTTTATAAAATTATTTAAAATATATACGCTGGCTTTATAAATATTATTACCGTTAAAAAATATTTATTTTTGCCCGATTAGGGTCGGAAATCCCCGAAAAACGCTATATAATATTAAACGCTAAAAAATATAAATGCTAAAAAGCTTATAATTTAGTTTATTTTAAAAAATACGTAAACGGCTGTAAAAATAATTAAAAAATACCGATTATCGTTAAATAAAGCCGGAAATATATAATAGAAAAAATATAAAAATGCGCAAAAAATTTTATAATATAATTTATTTTAAAAATGAATTATCGACGCCGGAAATAACCGGGAAAAGCCGAATATAATCGAAAAAATTATAAATTTTTATTAGTTTTTTAATAATTTTAGTTAATATATAATTATAAAATATTATTTAGGTTAAAATTACCGGTCGTATAAGGTTAAAAGGTGCCGAAAGGCGCTTAAAGGTCCTTTTTTTAAAGGTTTTTTTTGAGTTGCGTTTAATAGAATTTTTTAGGTAAATTAGCGGCCGGAAATCGTCGAAAAATTATTTTTATATATTTATTAAAATAATAAAAATATTGCTTTTTTTAATTATTATAATAATAATTATTATAAGCTTTATTTCCGATTTTTTTTATAACCGTATAAAATTAAAAAAGGCCGTTACGCTTTATATAGCGTTTATAAGCTTTCGATTTAGCTAAAAAAACGCCGAAAATAGTTATTAAACCGGCTTTAATATTAATAATATTAACGCTATTATTTTTTTTATAATTAATATTATTTGCTATTTTTCGGGGTCGAAAACGGTTAAAAACGGTTAAAAATTTATTTTAAATTAAAATTTAGCTAAATATTAATATTAATGCGATTATTATCGGAATAAATTTAAAATATATTTTAAAACGAAATTTTATTTTAACGTTATTATAAATTACCGTTAATATATTTTTAATAATTTTCGATATTTTCCGGGATCGGCAAATTTATTATATACCTAAAATTTACCGATTATTTTAATAAATTTAAATATATTATTAAAAATTTTAAAAAAGGCGAATACGGTTAAATTATTTTATTCGGGGATTTTTGGGTTTTTATAGCTATTATAAAAAATAAAAATAAAATTTTTTTTATTTTGGCGTTAATCGTAATTTTTCCGACTTTTTCGGCGTCGTAAAAAAGCGGAAATTGCTTATTATTTCGCAAATTTTTGGTAAATATAATAATAGCGCTTATATTAATAGTTTTAAATTTGCGTTTAATTAGGGTCGAAAAAGCCTTTCCGGTTACGGAAAAAGTCGGAAAAGGCTTTTATGCCTTTTTTAACGTTTTAAAATTGCGAATGCGAATTTCCGCGGTTTTAATATAAAATTCGGTAGCTTATTTTTTGGCTTTTTCGTTTTTATAATCCTATTTATAATTTTCGGCTAAAACCTATATTATTCGGGTTTTTTCGTTTAAAGCCGAGGTTTTATTATAAAATTATTTAAATTTTTCCTTAATTTAGGTTTTAATTTTTTTAAAAGCTATAATTAATTAGCGTAAAAAGGCGTCGAAAGCGCCTAAAAAGCGTTAATTATCGTCGAATATAACTAAAATAATCCGGAAATACGGCTAAAAAAAATAATAATATACGGAAATTATATAAAATATCGTTAATATTAATTTTATATTTTTCGGTGCCGGAAATAATTAAAAAAAACGTAATAGGAATTTAGGGAATTTAAAGCCGTTAATATAAATTAATTATATTTAATTTGCTATTATATATAGTTTTATTTAACGTTATTTTATCGTAAAAAATATAAAAAAATTATAATTAACGTAAAATTAGTTTTAAAAGCCGAATATAGCGTTAATATAAATCGGTAATATTTATAAAATAAAAAAATTATAATCGTCGTAAATATAATAGCATTATATAATACGGCTATTAGCGTTAAAATTGCGCCTAAAGGCGTATATACGCCTAAATAGCCGTATTTAGTCGTAAAAATCCTAAAAAAATCGCATTTAGTGTAAAAACGGTTTAGAAATATAATTATTACGATAAATTAGCTATAAAAAATATACGCGGGTATAAAATAAAGGTTTATAATAATTAGTAATTTACCGGAAAAATAATAATTTAAAAAATTTAAAATTATATAGCTAAAAAACGCGGAAAAATATAAAAATAGCCGTAATAAATCCGATTTACGTATAATTATATAATTAAAATTAGGCTTAATTAGGAATTAAATATTTTAATTAAAGTCGATTATAGCAATTACGATAATTTTAATAATTACGTAGGTTTTTCGGTTATATATAAATTTTTAATAATAAAAGCGATTTTGCATATTTGCGACTTTTTATAATGCTTTTAAGCTTAATTATTTTAATATTATTTACGATTTTAGCGTTACCGCGGTTTTCTTATAATTTACGGTATTTTTAAAATTCTAGATTTTGCTATTATTCACGGTATTACTATTATTTACGGTATTTTTTAATACCTGGATTTTGCTATCGGTCGCGGTTTTATTATTATTAATATTTTTTTTGCGTAAGCAAAAAAAATCTGGCTGACAGGGTCAGCTAGTACTATCTATGTTTTATTTTGGAGAAAGGAAGGAAATGTTGATATTTGGCTGTTGTCTGATGTTGTCCTAAAGTTGAGAGCAAGCTCGGTCACCGAGTAGTCATCTCCGACTTTGCTAAGTCAATGCTGATCAAGTTATTACGAGTGTGCACCCTTGCTAGAAGACAAACCTTCAGAGGGCATTATATGGGGCTGACCTCCAGCTGTCAGCAGCTAGTTAGAGGATCACAGTCTTGGTGATGCTCCATCAACGGGATCATAAAGATCACTATGATCCTTGATATTTAGAATACAATGGAGTACCATTCTTCTGCGGGTAAACCAAGAACCCCTTCAGAAAGGAATAAATAGATTGGACCAAAGACGGATTTCCTATTGCCACATGAACAGTTGTTACTTGAGTGATTAATTTAAGCACATATCTTACTTATAAATCAATATTTCATTATGAGAGGTTATGATCAGACTGTGAGACATGGCAGTTGGAATGATATACGTGTCAAATGAATCAACATAATAAACTAATCTGTATAGTATAGCTTGATTGATGCAGCATGGAGGTTTTGATTCGCACCGTTCAAGTGGCTACCTACCTACCTACTATGATGTGATGGCGCAGCGCCGATCAACTGGCAGCAACTGATAGATACATCATATGCCCATGCGGCAAAGTCCCAACACCAGAGTGCGCCGTGACAACATTCGTCCAACGAAAATCAATATAAATTACAGCCAAGACTAAAAGTTGTGCCGTCGGACCTTGGCAAATCACAACCACGTCAGCGCCCAGAATCTTAGCCTGAAATATCAAATATGGAAACGCCATTCACATTTCAATATGCATTTATCTTCTGGCTCTACAGCAGAGCGCCTCTCTCACTTGCATCGTAATATATATCGTAAATTAGTTGCGCTTTCCTGGCTGTCTTGTTCCAAACCATTTTCGCGATGCAGCTCTCCAACCTAGTTGCCTACATCGGCACGTATAGCTCGACGACCACCAGCTTTCTTCCTGGTGGTGTCCACGTCTGGTCACTCTCGGCCGATGGTCGGAACGCAACTCCCATACAATTCATTGAGAAGCCCAGCGAAGCAGGATACCTGTTCTATGCAAAGAACCTATCCACATTGTACGTGGTTGATGAGAAAAAGACCGACGGACGCGGTCCTGTCTCGGCTCCAGCCTCCGTTCACGCTTTTGATGTCAACCTCACAACAGCGGAGTTGACGTGGAAGAATTCCCAGATCTCACCGGGCGCCAACCCAACCTTCCTTGATTATAGCGCAAAGCACAATGCCCTTTTCAGTGCGAACCATGGCGCTTCGACCACGTCGAGAAAGTGATCTACAACGGTTCTCACTGGACTACGGAGTACATTTACGACGACTCCACAGTCATACAGTACAGCTTGGCGAATGATGGCACCATTGCAGGCTTGCAGGATGTTGTAGTCCTGGACGGTCATGGTCCTGATCCGAATGGTTCCCCACAGTCTGGCGGTCATGCACAGGCCAGTGCCCACGCACATTCTGCTTCCGTCGACCCGTCTGACAGCTTCTTGGCTGTAGCAGATAAGGGTGCCGATCGTATCTATATCTACCACGTGGACGGCGAAACGCTTGAGCCGGCTTATGTCTTTAACGCGACGGCCGGGACGGGTCCTCGCCATGTTGCCTGGTCCCAAAAGAGTGATCCTACCTGGTTCTTCGTAACCTACGAGCTCTCTTCCGAAGTAGCATCTTTCCAGATCGACCCAGAGACTGGTTCGGTGACGTTGCTCGACGTAGTATCTAGCGTTGGCACCAACTTCAGCAGGTATAATGAGCCGGCCGATATTCAAGTCCACCCAACCAATGAGCGACTGGTGTACGTCAATAACCGCGGAGAGGACACAATCGCCTGGTTCAACGTCGACGACGCAGGGAAGCTATCGCTTCTTGGTAGCGTTATGCTCACCCAATCGCTCAATGCTGGTGTTGCCGCTCGGAGCTTCAGATTCTCACCCGCAGGTGATTTCTTACTGGTGGCAGACCGACCAGAGAATGCTATCCGTGCCTATTCGGTGGACCAAGGCAACGGTAATCTGGAGCAAGTTGCCACTTGGGCGGTCTCCGAGCCAGCATTTGTGTGCATCGTGGAGTTTTGAGTCAAATTGTCTTGATCGAAAAGTGAAAGGCTAATTGCCTGCTTCTACTAGTAACTACAAACTAATTGTCAGAGAGTAGATATCTACCTAGATTACTTATGTTTTGCATTACTTTAGAACACTAGTTAGGACCGCACTATTTTGTTAAGAGGAATGTATGGACATTAGACTGTGTCAAAAGGTAGGTTCAATATTCCATGGATTGACCAGCAACACTACCCTAAAGGGGCGGGGGAAGGCTCCCACTACCTAGTATATACAGCCACAGTGTGGGTCGCACCCAGCCACCTTATTTCAACAGACTGTGCTATAGAGTTCAATGCAGTTCACGTTGATGAAAACGCAATTAAAGGCAATAAATGTATAGTTATTGTTGATTTAGAAAGCTAACTTAGATGCATAAAACGGCTTCCTTGCGTTCATATAATTCTCCTTATTACTTGAAACTTCCATGATACAAGTAACTTTGATGGGTCCTTGGAAACCCTTTGAGATATAGGAACCTTGGATATTGACATGTCTTTACCTTGATCGCTTCTTCTCTATCCATAGGAGAGTGTTATTTTAGCCTAGGGTATATACATCATTAATAAAAAGAGGAAAAGTCGAAAGATACTGTGAGCAGCTTCATCCAAAGTTCTAATTATATATTGCAAAATAGTGATCCTGTCCACATGTTCTATTTTTCATCCATCGGCTTTTCAAAGGTACCACCCCCTCTCAACAATGGAGACGTAAGTCATCATGCAAGGCCATGCGGACATCTTAGTTGCATCGTTCGGAACCACAAATGATGACGTGAAGAAGTGTCCCATGAATATCAATGCTACTTCAAGCATTACTCACGGAAAGGTTGAAGACAGCCACGGCGATCATGGTGCCAACACGGAATTGCGACGTATCCTCAGCAGTCGCCAAATCACGATGGATGCAAGACCTATAGACTTTCAGAAGGAGCACATTGGTTTGCCACTCTGAACAGATCTTCAAACGCGCAGACAAGACAGGTCGTATATGGGCAGGTCCCACTGCGAACTTTCTTTTGGAGACGCTATTACGTACATGATTGTTGCCGAGAACGGTGCTACTGTGTTTGGTTGGCTGTCAGACTTGATTTGTTTGATCAATCTTTTCGGCTGGGGCATGATCTGCTACTCTCATATTCGAATGCGAGCAGCTTGGAAAGCTCAACATGCTTCTGATGATGAACTCCCTTGGAATCGCGAGCAATCCCTTTCTCTGCTTATTGGAGAATCACTTGCTGTGGTATTTGGGTCGTCGTCGAATTTTACCTCGTAGTATGGCCTCTGAATGACCCACCATCGGTAAAGCACTATTTTGCGAACTATTCCTCGGTCATAATCATACTGGCGCTCTTTGCCGGCGAGAGCTTTTATTACTACGGACCGTGGGAACACCCAAAAAGAAATCAAAAGAAAACTTTCTTTTTAAAACAAAAGTTAAAAAATTAGTAAACAAAATAGAAAAGAGAGAAGAAAAAAGAAAAGAAATGATTTCTTTTTAACTTTTTGTATTTATATTAAACTCTCATCATCACACGCACAAATGGGTGAGCGTATAATGCCAAAATCGGGGGTTTCCAATACTTTGCCCTCTCGTGCTCCTTATTCAGGAAGTAGAGCGCGGGGTTCCGGTTGGAGCGTCGCTGGTCATGCCAAGGAACCATGTTAATTGATGTTATTTGTACCTTCTACAACATTGCCCAAATTAACCCCCCTCAACCAGTTCCAGTCAAGTTGCGACCACAGCAACGTTGATTTCACTTGCTGAGACTCAACCTCAACCTCAAAGCCGTCCGAATATGGACAGTACAATGAAATTGCCCGCTGCTTGGTGTGGGACATTGCGAATATGATCTGATCAGGAACTGGTCTCTTCAATGTGTGGACACACAGGACATTGAAATCGCTCTCTCGCCCCATGACTGATCTCAGCGGCTCGATGGGTGGCCGATAAAGAAAAGGTTCAGCAGCGGGTGTTCCCGATCGATAATTGCACAGCTTCTTTGTAGAAACGCCACGCGTTGCAGCGACAACAATTTCCGCGGAGGTTGGACAAACGTATAAGAGCTTATACGAAGTATACTAAAACTAAAATACGGTCAGCAGACATATTTGCGTAGGCGCCACAGAACGCCAGCGGGCCGAGCCGGGCTAATAGGAATGTGACGGCTGAAAGCTTGTCTCATCTCAGCGGGAAAATCTGCACTAGCAGTGAACTGATTCAGGTCTAGATCAGGCCAAGTCGCTAGCTCTCCCATCTTGCCGTGGAACATGATATAAAATTTACGAAATCTATTGTCTAAAGGTGGCAGGCAGACAAATCTGCGCAAACGCCACCGAGTATTAATAGTGTAATTATAGAAAGCTTGCCGAATTCATTCCTCATAAAGAGTCAGGCATTATTACCAGTGTAGACGGATCAAGAATAATATAAATTGACTGATATCTCACCCATTCTCTCACCAAATCACTCTTCAGTAGCTTTCCCAACAAACCAATCATTATTCTATTCAAGTATCTGAACGTTAGATACCATACTCGGGTAATTCGTCGTCACATCTGATACACGTAAGTTGCCACAAGTCAGAAGTCTTGATCATGTGTTTATATACTTAATGACATATATGGGCATTCACTTTTAGTTATTTTAATTTCGAACGAATCTCCCATAAAGATGCATTACAACTTCTACAGCTCTTTCTTGATCTTTGGATCTCTTACTGCTGTTATTCATGGGTCGCCAGCGGGCAATGAGCCCCGTCAGGACGGATTCGCGGTCTGTGGCTACAAGTCATCAGCAGCTTGCTGCTCTACCTTTATTTTAGGAGTGGGAAGTGACTGTTCTGGCCCTCCCGCTCCTCAACCGACTACTGGTCCTGAGTTCGAGGCTCGATGCTCCTCTGTAGGGAAAGGAACCGCTTGTTGTATACAAGTTGATGGGCTAGGCCCGATCGTTTGTCGCAAATCTCAATCAGGATAAGCCCTTCCACTGTCCGATACCTGTTGATGCTTGCAGAAAGTCTTTGTGTGAGCATGGGAGGAGGACCGAGCATAATTCATACAAGTTGTCTCGTCGCTGGGTTTTATGGATATTCAACAACGGTTCAAGTCCTTGACTTACGTATTTGGGTCAACAAGTTGCAGATTTGTTTACTGTTCTATGTGGTTGCCTTATTTTGCAGACTGCCTGGAGGCTGTGAGGAGCTCCAGCCATGTCTTCAGTTGTTGGTTGCCTCATCAGTTGGCTTAAAACGTTACGTCTCGCGTGCAAGGCGTGCCGAATCAATATATGAGACGTCTTGAAATAACTTTCACACAACTGAAAGGGTGATTCTTCATAATGACTGGCTCTGAAGTTGCGGCTAAAATACCTGACAGGCTGACAATTATGGCACTCGGACTCGGACTCGGGAGGCATGGAAGGCACAGCCCCTCTTCCAGGTAAGATCAACTGTTGTCTGCCTCGCTGTCATCCTACGGTGGTCAGTATCCCTGCAGCCCCTCCATCTTCCTCCCACTTCAATCTGATATGCGCACGATGATTGGTCAAATACCCAGTGTTTGTATTGTTAAGCCAAGTACAAGAAGTAAGAATTTAAGCATTGATCTCAAATGACTCGATCCCAGCACTGCCTTCAAGCAATCTTTGACAAGTAAGGATTGAAATAATGCAAGCTTTTTGAAAGCTTCAACTCGCTGTCTCAAGTCTGGTAAATTGTCACCAGTGGCATCCGCGTCGGGGTTCTAAATATAAATGATATGATTTTGCCCGTCCCATCCGCCGTATTATTTCAAGGTGGATTGATCGGCAATGATTCGCTAGGTCAATGTGCTGTGCCGCAGCAGCGGACGTAATCTACTTCAAGACTCCTTGACGGATATAATGCAGCATTGGAGCCCTGATTAAATCTTTTAATACTTGATCTATCTTTTGATACTTGATCTAAAAACATTAACCATCAGCTCCTTCGAACACTCATTCAGCAAGGAAATGACAGTCGGGCAGCCGTTATGAACACAATCATGGGCGATAGTTCTACTGCCGCACAGCTGCCCCGTGTAGTCATTCTGCCGCAGAGGAGGCCGAAGCAGCGTCGCCGCGGCTTCGTTCGGGCTTACGCGCCAGATCTCATGCATTGCGGCATCGATCAAGCTACTTTTTTAGACTTCATCGACGGCCTGAACAAGGCGGTCTCGTCGAGTCCGTTGGCCGACACGTTCAATCTCAGTGGGGCAGCGGTCGGGGCCGTGCCGGCCTCGGTGGCCAGCTTCCTGCCCTTGACTGGCATGTCCATTCAAGTCGCCGCCAGTGTCTACACGGAGATATCGTCACGCAAAGGGTAAGTGTGGCTATCCCCAAGGCTGCTCGTGGGAGACTCTCCTCCACGGTAACTCATCTTCTCATGACATAGGCAAAATTCGTATCTGCTCAAGATGAACGATGAGCTTTTGCGTCCGCGGGGCCTTTACTGTCTGGTCATGGCCTACGACACGAACTTTCGCAGAGATCACATGGCACAAGACCTTGGCCCCGACCCTGTCGCCCTCATGTTACGTACTGCTACCAATCAATCATCAAGCGTCCGGGAAAAGATCCGAAGCAATGATGGAGTTACTGGAGCCTCTAGTTTCCCGGAGGCGGCTGAATTGATATTTCCGGACCTCAAAGACGATGTACTGACTCGTGGAGAATCTGGAACCGATGACAGTGAAGACAGTGAATCGAGGGGTAGTGGAAGCAGCTTCGCCAGCCGCCTTGTCGAGAGAGCGGCCGCATACAACGCCCGTCAAGACCTCAAATCCCAAGTTAAATTCGTATGTGGACTTCGGCCCTGCTCCCGGCTACAGCCGCCCCGTCTTGCCTTGACCTCGATCACTAATATCGTGTCATCCCAATCTGTATAGCAAAGAAAAAATCCCACAAGTCTCATCAACCCACTGCTCGACCCAAGTGCTGAGCTTGGAGACAAGGACCTCCGCAAGCAGGAGAAGAAGGCGACCAAGCAAGAGAAGAAATGGGAAAAGGAGGACCGCAAGGCCGAGAAGCGCCAACTAAAGCATCCTGAGAGAGAGCCACGCGAGCGCAAAATACGAGAGGTAAGAAGTGCCATGATTTTGTGCATTTCATGCTTTCACTTGAGATCCATGATTGACAGTATGTCTAGGGCATATTATACCTAATGATAATCAACATGCCGTCAGTTGAGGAAATGAGTAGGGCTCAGGCAATCATGGAAAATCTGGAGATGTCAGGACAACACTGATTAGCCTCCAATGAAGCTAGAAATCACACGCGTTAGGCTGATGGACTGGTGATTACTGACACAACTATGTCGTACTGACGTAGTCAGTACCCACCGCAAATGACCTGCGTGGGTATATAGTTGCTCTTCAGCACCTCTCTTTTGTAGACTAGAGATCAACTCAGACAACTTTCAATGCTTCCTCGATCATCTCGTCTTCATTCCCCCTTGACACATCGGCTCAGGTGAGAAACTACCTAGTAGTATATCAGGTAATCGAATTACCAGATGCCAAGACATTCAGCCTACCTTACCCTGGAATTAAGTGCAAGTGAAATGAGAACTTTGGTTCTTACCTGCCTAGTCATCTCAATCGACGTTGACCTCGACCACAAAGCCAACTTTATATGCCAACAACGCGATGAAATACCTCATAACGACTAAACGTGTTTATCAGGTTCACTGTGGAGCAACTAAATTAATTAATATCTGTGGTTATCCGGATTCAACCGCGGTACCACTGCCAATGGATCTCTCAGAAATAGTTCACACGGAGACAGGTTCCCACCAAGGTCATGCCATAAGATTCGCGCAAATCGATGGAGAGGGGAAGAAGAAAGGAAGAGGAGAACAGAATGCATCCTCTAAGGACAAATCAGCGATACCAAGCAATCCACGTGAATACGGCTCAAAATTCCTCACCCAACATGCAGATATGCACATTAGCTCAATTGTCGTCAGGCCGAGAGCGAAACGCACGAAAGTGGAGTGCATAGTAGGTGATCTGGTTCTGCAACAAGCCCGGGTAGCGTAGTACTTTTATACCTAGCAGCCATTAAGCAATCGGGGATAAATGGAGATTCATTGCTAGTGAAAGCCAATGATCCACTATTTCTTGTCTATAATATCCTGGGGAAAACGTTCCTTACTACACAATATGCCGAGATGCTTCAGGCTTTTGAACCTCAGCTAGGGCAAGGGTAGTGTAGGCCTGACCGTTACAAGCGCCACATGGGCGCTGTAATTCTCGACAAACATTATTATTGGAGCGGCTCCCTCTTCCGTAGGATCCCGCGCCACAGGATCCTTCAGCTTTGCTGTGAGTGCAAATGACTTCCCCAATTAGTCTCGCCTGCGGCATCCTTGTGTGAATCGGATTTCGGGAGTTGCAGCCGCTACAGAACGGAGATTCAATGCATCTTTGTCACATTGGCATCGGAGTCTTGGCAGCTACTATTGTGACAAGGGTGCCGCCGGTGGATCTATAACGGCTATTCAACCTAGCTTATACTCTGCTGCAGAGACCGTTGCAAGCACTTCAGTGCGCTAGTCACACTCGACTCCAAGGATGTTCCAGTCACATCCCGTCTGGAAGATGAGAGGTCCAGTAGCCGTTTGATACCTGTTGTAGCTACACGTGGAGAATCACTCGTCGCCTTGATTGCATATTCAATCTCTCCGCCATGTTATATCAATCACTTCATTCACTCTGAGAATGACGACTATATTCTTCTAGTCTAATACGATGCATGACTATGCCATTTTAGTAGCTTGCCACCAGTCCTGCAACCTCCAGGGCACTCCCCCAGGCAAGCGACCAGCCTTCAGTCCCATGACCGTACGCGTGTACGATCCGGCTTCCAGCCCGACGAGACTCCTTCTCGATTCTGACATCGTCCCGCCTCATTGGCCGGATCCCCTGTGCGATGGGGTACTCAGGCTCGAGTTTCGCGTCCTTCAATTGAGGCAGGATTCGCTCGCACTTTGCGCGCATTTCCACCATGGCCGGTGAGTTTTCTGTCAAACTATTTTCCGTCTCCCCCTCTTCTGTAAACGTGCCCAGGATGAGGGTGTTTTCGTTTCGCGGGACGACGAATACAATGTTGTAGTCCATATGATCCTTGTTGTTGACAACAAGCGCGTGTTCAATTTTGGGAAATGTCTTTCCATCGTTGACGACTCGCAGCAAACCCCCGCGGCCGGCGTACAGGCTTGTGTCGGAAGCAGTAGTCTGAGCGTCGAGCCCCGTCGCATTGACAATGACGTCGGCGTTATACTGCTGGAGCAGCTCCTGCTCATGGCTCAGAAAGTCGCCTTTGACCTCTCCCGTGGCCAATTGGGCGCCCTTTGCCTTGACGAGATTCAAGATGAACTTGATGGCTTGATCTGAATCAATGATTGGCGTCTGGTATTCAAAGGTATCGACCACGACGCCGCCAGATAGGTTGTAAGCTTCAATGAGAGACTTGTCGTGTCTAAAGCCCGGTATTCTAGCTTGCTCAATGGCCTCAACACGCTCGCGCTCCACCTCGTCTTCCGCAATCGCGTAGGGGGCACCGCACAGAATCTTGCGCACCCGCACGCCAAAGTCCGGGGCCAGCTCTGTATCCTGGGCGAGCTGTAGATAGACGTCATAGCTCTGCAACGCGTACTCGCGGAGTCTGGCTAGATTATCCGGCTTGAGGCGAGGTCCGCAGGGCGCGGTAGGAAACTCCCACATGGCACCTGCAATCTGTGATGTCAGGCGTTGCTCCTTGGTGAAGGTCGGCCATTCCTTTGACAGAATCGTGACCTTGTACCCCCTGTCGAGGAGCAACCATGCGCTTGTGAGTCCTGTGACGCCGGCACCGACGACAAGAACGTGGTGAGACGTTGAAGAGGGGGGCTTGGCGGGTTCGGACTTTGTTGTGATGTCCTTTCCGAGAGTCAAAGGGCTTTTGGAGATGAACTCTGGCATTTTGTGGATGGTGTATGCTCTTCGAGCTGAAAATTTGTGTGAATATTGGGATTCTTGTTTTGAATGGTTGAGTTACAATCAGTTATGGTAAGTCACAAGGTATCGGACAGATGGTTGATCTGAGTTCCAAGGCTCTATTTATATTTTGGAAAGTAAGACTCTCTTCTTCTTGTATCCCTGTGTACTATCACTACCATCAACAAGTTTCCAAGAAAATCTAATGAAAAACTTTTGCTTTGAACGGAGGTTTCTTGAAGCATACACTAGCATGCGTCAATACCGGCCCACATGATCGAAAATAATCTTCATGATCGAACATCATCTTCAAAAAGGAAGCCGTTCCCTGCATGCCACCGTCATTCATGCGGACAGTCTGTGCTTGAACAAGACTATTCAGCCGATGCTGCAGCCGACAGAACCCGACCAACATTCTCATGCCGGGGTTTCAACTTGATCTGGAAGGGCACAGGCGATCGACCTGACAAGCCATCGTACTCCTTGAGATCGATTGGGTGCTCCGGGACGGCCTCTAGATCAAAGGCCCAGATCAGACGTGAGATTGCCAGCCAAATCTCCCGTTCTGCAACCCACATGCCGGGACAAATCCGTCGCCCGGCCCCGAACATCCAGTTATCCCGCTGGTAGGGATCTGCAAGGTTGGAACTATCGGCTGACGATAGGTTATCGTGGAGGTAGCGATCAGGCTGGAGAGTCTAGGATCAGCTCGCGATTCAAGGTTTCAGACAGGAAAGAAAAAAAGACTCACGTTGAAGTTATGAGGGTCCGAGTGTCGTTCTGGGTCATGATGCATGGTCCACGTATTGAGGACCAAAACAGTATCCTTCGGGATGAATTGACCCTTGTAGGTAAAGTCTTCTGATGCCACATGCGGTGTGCCAAGCCAGAAGGGGTTGTGGCAACGTTCAATCTCCTTCACGATTGCGTGGCAATAGGGGAGGTTCTTCTCATCTTCAACCTGAGGAAGACGATCTCTCCCCACGACGCGATCCAGTTCTGCCTGTGCTCGCTTTTGGATCTCTGGATAGGATGGGATGAGGGCAGAAAACCATTGCATAATGGAAGCAGTGGTCTCCACACCGCCAATCATAAAGGCGGACGCAAGGATTGCCATGTCCATGTCATCGAGCTTCTCCATGTCGCGGATCTGGAGCATGGTCTTGGAAAGACTTTCAGGGACCTTTTGACCACTCCGCATACGGCGATCGATATCCTTGATCATCCCACCGTATGTCGCGGCAAGATCCTTGTTTAGCTGGCGGCCCCGACTGCGCAGGGATAGAGGCAGATACTGCAGTAGGGGCACAAAGTCTGTGAGGTTTGACATGGGGCCAGTGAGATTCCTGTCAAATCATGTCAGTATAGGAGGCGGATGTCAATGATCCGCAAGGGAATGGAGCATTACATGAACTCTCGGCTGAGCCTGAGGGAAGTCTTGACCAGAGGGTCGTGGACCGATTTGGTCCTTGTCCCAAAGACAATAGTCAACATGTTATTGAGAGAACAGCGGCCAGCAAATGGTTGGGGATTCACAAGGGCATTGCCGCCGTCGCAAACTTCGTATAGACATTTGATCATGTCGGTAGCCTCGCGGTCCAGGACGTGAGTATACTTGTCGACTTCCTTGGAGTGGAGCCAATTTGTGGCAATGCGGCGATGCTTCTTCCTACATTCCGGGCTGATGTCAGAAGTTGTCCGAATACATGGATTCATCATGAATGAAACTTAATGCTCGGGACCGGAAATTGAGCTAAGGATATTGCGCAGAACGAACCAAGTAGGGTTGTGTGGGGTGGCAGTGATTCCGCGACCAAGAAAGACGGTTTGGCTCTTGATAAACATCTCTTTACGTGACGAAAATACGGCGCCGTTGGTGACCATCAGATCCTTGGCGATCTCGGGGCTAGAGATGATCACAAAGAGTTGGTTTCCAAGCCATACAGAGTACAGCTCGCCGAACTTCTTGGCCCATTTGTCCAGAGTGAGCTCTGGGTAGTGAGTCAGGAACGGAAAAGATCCTTCAGTGAAGCTATCAGTCAGTGGTCCATTGAAACTTGGATCTTGTGCGCAGATACTGACCCAGTACAGGAAATCCAGTAGGTCCGTGGGGTATTTTGTTACCCTCGGCGTCTTTGAACTTGCTAGAGATCAAGAAATTGTACGAGACAAAAGCTAGAATAGCAAACAAAGCTGCTGAGAAGTATTGAAATGTGTTCACATCCTCCAAAACATCTGGAAAGAAGGACCCAAAGACGGGAATTGCTGAGGCGGTTGTGTTGGACATTTTCTTTAATTGCTCTGAAGTTGATGTTCTCAAAGGCTTGGTGTTTGATTCATTCTCTCTCGTCGTTTCCCCTCGACTATATTTATATTCAGTACTGCGCTCGCCCATCACGACTACTTCTCCCGTTCTTAGGTTGCCACGCCTGCCTAACTTCACAAATCGAGGTGAAAAAGTACCGGCCATCCTTCGTCTCCCTCTCTAGGATCAACATCAAAACCAGACGAGGAAACCGGTCCGATGCAAGTCAACAGCATTAGACTCCTCAAAGACTCAGCCTGAGCATCAACAGGGTTACCCATCCTTTGATTATACTGATTTTCCAGACCAATTCAAGCAGTCTGGCCTAGTATATTGCCAAGACGGTTCCCTTGAGCTCGAAAATCTCTGAGCAGCGGTCGATCAATGATCCTTCAACTGCGATGATCGGGGAGAATGAGCAAGGGACTCGGCGGTCTGGCCCTGGCTCAGCTCACGCACGAGCTCGGTGCTTTCTGAAAGAAGGCTTTTGGGGGTTGATGAGGCTGCGAATCCTACGAATAGCATCAGCGGTATGTAGCATTTTGGTGGGCGAGAATGTGATCTATAAGATACTTTTGCTGCGATTTGGCGCCACTCGGTCTTTCAAGGCGACCGTTTTCCCATTCAGCTTTCTTATATATTATAAACAATCTTACGAGGTTCACAAAACTGCAGAACTACACAAACGATAGCAGAAAGGGAATTAATTAAAGAATGCGATATAATAACTATCTATAAGCCTAAAAACTGCCAATTTCCCGTTTATATAGCTATTTACGGTAATAAAGCCGTAGGCACCCGGCTATAACCGTTTTTGGATTTTTCTATAATCCTTTATTAACTATAGATACTAATAGGCTTTAGCGCCTTCCGCTAATACGCTTTTTCGCTAAGCCGCTAAAATTATTCGTAAATTTTTAAGCTTAATAAATTAATAAATTTTTAATATTTATTTCCGTCGAGCGGCTTTATAAATTTATCGGCTAGATTTAGGTTCGTTAATGCTTATTTTATTTTAATTTTGCTTTTTGCAACCTTACTACGAATAGCGTATATATATAGCTTTAAATACTTTTTTTTTTCGTTATATTTATAAATTCGGCTTATTTTTTAGCTTTAATATTATTTTTAAGCAATATAATCGGATTTTTAATATTAATTTAAGCTTAATTAGGAAATTTCGAATTTATATAGCTTTATTTATAGCTTCTAAAATAATTATATATTTTATTACCGTAAATACTTTTATTATAAATAATTATTTATATAATCGCTATAAAATTAGTTTTCCGTTTATAAAAAATATATAGCCGGTAATTAATTTTAACTTTTTTAAATTTAAAGCGTAGCTAAAATTTATAATTTTAAATAATTTTAATTTATTATATTACTTATATAAATATATAATTTTATTTATTTTTAAGTTACGATATTTAATTATTTTTTTAATATTCGTTTTTAAATATCGTAGCACTTTTTTTAATTTTTATTAATATGTTTATAAAGGATTTATTATAAATTTAATTTATATAAATATTATAAATGCCGTATTTACTTTTAATATATAAAACGAAAAATTAAATTTGCTAATTATTAACGCGTAATTATAAATTTTTTTAATTATAGCCTTATTTTTATTTAAATAAATCTTATATAATATTCCCGGATTTATCGGGTTTGCTATTTTCCTTTTAAATTTTATAAAATTATAAAAATTAAATGCTTTATTAAAATATTATTTAATATTAATTTTAATATTTTTAATAAAATTATTACGCCGGATTTGTATATTAAAAAACCATTTTATATTTTTTAAATTTTTTAATTTAATTTTAGTTTTAAATAAACCGATAAAATTTTTAAAACGCTTTTTATTTAGCCTAAATAATAAAAAATTATTTATATATATTGCTATAATATCCCTAATTTATAAATTATAAAATACCGCGTTATTAAATATAAAAAAAATAAATTTATATTTTTTTATTAGCGATTTCGCTTTATATTATTATTTAATAGCTATTTGCTTTAGCCCGTATAATAGGTTTAAAATCTAAATAATTTTCTTTTTTAAATAGCCTTTTTTACGCGCTAGCTTCGTAAACTATTCGAAAAATTATAACAAGCTAAAAAATTGCTTTATATAAATTTTTTTACGTAAATTACTATTAAAGAATATAAATATAAAATTAATTTATAAAATAAACCAGCTTTTTAAAGCGGTAAAAATTATTAATATTTTTTACGAAGCGGCTTTTGCTATAATTGCGATTATTTCGCTATAATTAATATTTAGGCGCTATATAAATTTATACGCTATAATACGCGCTTTATATTTTTTAAACGTACCGTTATTATTAAACTTTTTTTTAGCATTTATTTATTATTAATAAAATAATTATAATTAGCTTTATTTTTTATATAAATTAAAAGGTATTTTTTTATATATTTTTTAAAATTTTTTAATAAATCGCTTTTTATTATTAATTTTTTTAGCCTAGCTATAGCTTTTTTAAATATAGGATTTTTCGGTAAATTTATTTTTAATATTTCGTATAATTCGTCCTTTTTATGCGTAATTATAAAATTAAATAGCTAATTTTCGCTTTTATTAAAGTTTGCCGCCGTAAAAAAAATTTTAGGGATAAAGGCGTTTATTTTTATTTTTACCGTCGTCGTTATTGCTTTTTTTAATACGGCTAAAGCCGAGGCTTAATTTGCGAAATTTATTAGCCGAAAAATCGTAAAGGTTAAATTCGTTAATTTCGTTAATTTTATACGCCCTTTTAAAAAAAAAACGCAAACGTATACTTTATTAATTCGCAAAATTTATTACGCTAATCGAAAAAAAAAATTAAAAGCTTGCTTTTTTATTAAAAGGTATAATAAATAAAATCGTTATTTTTAAGGGCTTTAAGTATTTAGGCTTAATATACGTCGGTTTTTTTTTTTAAGGCGGCTGCGTTTTTATTTAATAAGGCCGTTTTTAAAATCGGTAATATCCTCGGGAATAACGTTATAATTAAAATCCCGAACTTAGCCTTTTATAAGCTTAGTATTAATCAAGGTGGTGCTTTTTTATTGGAGTTTAAACTGGTCTGATATAGGTGTTTATTGTGTGATGTATTAATTTATATTCTGCGCCTTTTAATTTTAATGAGGTGTATGTTTATTTGGGTGGCCCCGGCTAATCCCCGGGAGGTTTTGTATATTTATTTAAATATTATAAAATTAACCTATATATTTAAATATACCCTAATATATAAAAATTATAATTTATTATTTAATATATCCTTTTAAATTTACGATTTATCGTAAATTTAGCTATATTTAAATTAGAATTGCTAATTAGCAAAATATAGCTTTTTTTAGGGCTATTCGTTTTAATTACGATAGGCAATATCAAATCCTATCTATTATAGAAAATTTTATTATTTGCCTATTAGTAAGCTTTTCGTTAATCTATTTGCTATTATTTTATTTAAGGGTTTATAAATAACTCTAACTTTTTTTTTTAGGCTTTTTATCGTAATTAATAATTATAAATATTTATATAACGGAGCTTTATTTTTAATAACGCGATTTTGGCGTTAATTAAATTAATAATTTGCTTATTATTATATTTAATAGTAATAATGCTATTATTTAGCTATATTAATAATTTTTTTAATAATCGGCTAACGAATAATGTTTTTTTTAGCAATTTACGCTAAGGCAAATAATTTAGCTTTTATAGTAGAAATAGTAATTATATTTTATTTATTTAATCGCTAATTAATTAGTTTTTTGAATAGCTTTATAGCGAATGCTTAGGTATTTTTGCGATCGATATTATTATCGGTAAATAATGCGTTATTAGTAATTATTAAATTAAAAAATTTTCCGATTTTAAATAAAAAATTTTTAATATTAATTAAATAAATTAAAATTTAATTAATAGCTTTTTAATATGCTTGGTTTAGATTATTAAGGAATTAAATTAGTTTAATTATTGCGAATGCGATATTTGGCTTTGTAAATATAGCCGCAAATAATAATAATCCGATTTTTTTTTAATATTTTTATATTTTATATAAAAGCGCTATAATTAATCGAAATATAAATTTTTCGTAGCTTATTAGCGTTGCATAAATTTTTTATTTATTTATAAGTTTGGCGATTTTTTTAAAATAAGCCTTTTAGGATAGTTAGATTATTTTAAATATACGATTTCTAATTATTTCTATCCCGAGGAATTATTATATTAGCTTGTTATTATTAATTTTATATTTTTTTATAAAATGCTATATTAAATAATTAATAGCTTTTTTATTTTTATTCCTATATACGATAATTATATTATTAATGTAAAAAAAAACTAATATTTTTTTTTAATAAATGCGTAAGGCTTATATAATATTTAAATATAACCGATTTCGGCTAGGGTTTTTATAAATTTTTTTTGCTATAGCAGCGGTAATATCCGTAATTTATAAAATGCTTTATTTAATAATAATATAGCGTTTTTTTTCGATATTTATCCGGCATTTTTATAAATATATTTTAATTAATAAAAGCGTATATAAACGCGTTTATTACGTTGTATTATATTAATTTAAAATCGAATTTTGCTATAATCGCGATTAAGGTGTAAAATAATCTTTTAGCTAATATAGCCGCGTAGGTTTTCTAATTTTAGGATTTCGCCTATTAATTATTGTGAACGACGAATTTTGCTTTATATTTTTAAAATTTTTTGTGTTTATCGAATTTATATATATATATTTATATATAATTAAAGATTTATTTGCCTTTTATTCGTAAATCCTTTTTATTAATTTCGGTTTAAAATCGTATATTTTTATAATTTTATAAATAATTAGCTTTTATTTAAAAAAATAATCTGCTAAACGGATAATAATATAATTTATAATGCTATTTAGGGGGAGCTAGGATTTCCGTTTTATAAATTTTTACCCTTTAATAAAGAAAGCGTTTTAGCT